CTACTCGATAAGATAGAAAAATGTGGGTTAGACAGCATCACCACCAGATGGATTCATAGCTGGCTGACCGGCCATACTCAGCATGTGGTCCTCAATGGAACCACATCTACATGGAGGGAAGTATGTAGTGGGGTGTCAAAGGGCTCTGTTCTAGGTCCAGTGCTCTTCAACATCTTCATCAATGATTTGGACGAGGGGATAGATGGGGAACTCATCAAATTTGCAGATGACACCAAGCTGGCAGGAATAGCCAACACTCCAGAAGACGGCTTAAGATACAGGAGGATCTGGACAGATTTGAACACTGGGCGCTATCTAACAAAATGAAATTCAATGGTGAAAAAAGTAAGGTTCTACATTTAGGCAAGAAAAACCAAATGTACAGGTATAATATAGGGGGTACCTTGCTCAACAGTAGTAACTGTGACAGGAATCTCAGAGTCCTAGTGGACAATCACTTAAATATGAGCTAGCAATGTGCTGCAGCTGTGAAAAAAGCCAACACAGTGCTAGGCTGCATTAACAGAGGGATAGAATCAAGATCACGTGAAGTGTTAATACCACTTTATAATGCCTTGGTATGGCCACACTTGGAATACTGCATCCAGTTTTGGTCACCACGGTGTAAAATTTATTTATTTATTTATTTATTTTTATGAGACTTATATACCGCTTTAAGTGCAAGCACTCTCTAAGCGGTGTACACCAATAAGCGATGTATATATATTTACATTGCCCCCAACAATCCGGGTCCTCATTTTACCTACCCCAGAAGGATGGAAGGCTGAGTCAACCTTGAGCCGGTGAGATGCTGAGACTCTAGAAAGAGTACAGAGAAGAGCAACAAAGATGATTAGGGGACTGGAGGCTAAAGCATATAAGGAACGGCTGCTGGAATTAGGTATGTCTAGTTTAACAAAGAGAAGGACGAGGGGGGACATGATAGCAGTGTTCCAATATCTCAGGGGCTGCCACAAAGAAGAGGGAGTCAAGCTATTCTCCAAGACGCCTGAAGGCAGGACAAGAAGCAACGGATGGAAACTGATCAAGGAGAGAAGCAACCTAGAACTAAGGAGAAATTTCCTGACAGTTAGAACAATTAACCAATGGAACAACCTGCCTCCAGAAGCGGTGAATGCTCTAACACTGTTTTTAAGAAGAGACTGGACAGCCATTTGTCTGAAATGGTATAGGGTTTCCTGCCTGAGCAGGGGAGTTGGACTTGATGACCTCCAAGGTCCCTTCCAACTTTATTATTATTATTGTATGTGCACAAATATGCTCAAACTAAAGCCCAGGCAATAAAAAAAGAAATCTTAAAGATAAATATAATCCTATCTAGTTCTGAGAGTTCTTTATTCGCACAACATTTTTGAATTATTCTAATTACTTATTCAATTCCACTTAAATGGACTCCAGAAGATGGTAGAGGACAGGAAGGCCTGGAGGAACGTTGTCCATGGGGTCACGACGGGTGGGACACGACTTTGCAACTAACAACAACAATTCAATTTCAAATTGCCAAAGCAGCATTTGAAGAATAACAATTATCAATGAAAAAGAACTAAAATATATAAATTTAATAACAATCTAAACTATTAACATAAAAGTCAGGAAACATCATTAAAAGCATTCTAAAGAACACAGAAATTTTAAGAAGACATTGAAATGCCAAATAACACTTTGATATGCCTTCACTACAAACAGGTATTCCAGAATGTGAGCACTATCAGATATGCTTCTCATCACAGTTAATAGCCCCATTCTACAGAGAAGATCAAAGGGACCCAGGAGGAATAAATGGAAGAGGTCTTCCCAAAGTGTACAGGCTTCAGAATTCAGCCTAGAAGCAGTTCAATACCCAATGCAGTTGGGTTATGATTATGAATTTGCTATCCATTGTCCATGCCAGGAGGCACGACTCAGCACTCAAGATTAAAAGCAGTCACTGTCAAGCCTTCTTCCAAGGTCTTCTCCACATATTACAGCAATTAAAGCACACCGTAACCAAAAGACTGAGGAAGTATTTCTACCAATTTATACAAACTAAAGAGATCTTTAGCTTGATTGAATGCTCTCCCCACAGCTGTCCTAGAAGGGAAATCTAGAAAATCCTGCATGAAACCCAATACTGCCCCTGTAATATGGGTACCATAGAAAAGAAACTACAGTTCCTTCCTTCTGTATTGTCAGATCTACAGGGACATTCGCCACTAACTGATTACCCCTCTTTAATTTACATTTATGGGGCACTCTGATAACTTTTATCTGTTAAATAATCACAATATATTTATCTCTCTAAAAGTAGCAAAATATTACTATATTATGTGTAAATGTGACCCACAAATGGCTGCTAATTGTTCTTGTTGTGGGGGAAGTTGTGTTTGTTTTATTGAATGTACTTTTTTTGCTGACTGTCAGAAAGAAGCAATTACTTTCAGTCCATTATAGTCACCTGATAATTCACCAACAAACAAACAAACAAATAAATAAACATGCATGCATGCATGCATACATACAAACATCTTTGAATCAAGGGAACTATCTTAATTAGGAAAAAAAATGGGGCAAAACCCCTTCCAACCTAGGCTGGCCTGCTCTCATGATCTCTGCCTTGTCTATTATGCTCCACTCATTCTTCATCTTCTTCTTTCTCTCTATTAGTGCTTCCTAAGGCCTATTTCAGCCTGCCATTTTACTACCTACCTACTACTGTTCACTAACCTAACAAGAACATTCTTAGACCATTTTCAATGTGAGTTGTTAATTGATGTGTAAGAATGAGCTAATCTAAGTTAACAGAATTTTACTTCTCTTGACTAATTATTAATTAGATGTTATTCTACATTTTAACTTAAAACAATTAACCTCATAAAAACTTTAAAATAAGTGAAACTTCAAGTTCCAATAGACAAAAGAAATTCAGACAGCAGCTCCTAAAATAATGGAAATTAATCTACAGAAAACAAAACTAAGTTCTGTTGGCTGCAAAAAACAATAAGCAAGTGTATCAGATTTGAGGCACTGCTTTTTTGCATGCTGGATTTATGGAAGCATTACAAAACCTTGTTTGTTGTTGTTGTTTTCTGTGTGATGTATTTTTATAAAGAATCCATATGAGAATATCCTACTGGAGGAAGCAAAACAATCTTTTTCAAACTGCAAGGTTTCTTGACTCTTATTTTCTAGGAAAAAGAATCTTCCTTTAAATTAATACAACTGGTGAGGGAATGCCAGATGTGTCTTTTGCTTGGGGTATGCTGGTACATATCACCGTCCTGCCTGATGGAGGAGGGGCGGGGGATAATTCGGAAATCAGTCATGTCTGCCTGGCAAATTCAATAAAGCGCAGACCAGACAGCCAGTTAGGAAGGGGGAGGGAGGAATGGTGCATCCATCATCACATAGAGGGTGTGGGGTAAGCAAAAGCAGCTGTCATGAGAAAAAGTGAAGAACACCAAGAGAAATGAGTAAAGGAGGGATTCAAAAGCACATTGTGCTGTGTGTGTGTGCGTGTGTGTGCACACGGCACATCTTAAAAAGCAGCCGTCTCGGTTAAAGTGGTCCACATTTTCGATTCCTGGCCTCTCTCTACCACACCATATTTTTGCTTACCAGAAATTTCTCCTTTCTCCCCACAATGCCTAGGAGAAAGGTGGAGCTCTCTATCCTAGATGGATGTTTCCATTTTCTCACTGAGACCTCAGAAAGTCCTTGCTTATAATGGAGTCCTTAGTCTCCCTGTTGCCACAGACTTCATCAGCAGGTAGCATGCCCTATTTGTTAAAATCTGGGGAACAAAACCAATTTCTCACCCCCACTTTTTCTACCCTCTTGTGACAGACAGACCTAGTTCTTTGAAATATACAGTTCTATATTGTTAGCAAGCCAAAAAGAACACAAACTCACAAAGAATACAGTCTGCCCACATTCCCTTTTCCATCATCCTCTTCTCCTCACTTTTGAATGAACAGGGAAAAAGAGACAATAGGATTTGGGATGCCCCAAATTAACCATTGATTCTCTACACATCTGAGACATTTCTTTTCATTCCATGGATTTATCAGTCCAACCCTGGCAAACTGGGGTTCTGTCCCCCCGCCCCATTACAGTCGGGAGCCATGACAACTAAGCACTGCAGATGCCAGGAGGGTCCTGTCTGCGTCATTTATCTCTGACATCATCAATCATGGTTGCCGGGGAAACACCCTCAAAATTAGAACAAAGCAGAGGGGTAAGTCCCCTGCACCATGTCTTTGGGGAAAAACTAGAAAAATTCCCAGGTTTCTTCTTCTTTTAAGAGGAAAGAGAATGCTATTTGACAAAATATGCTAATGTCAACTTTCTGAAGAGTAGCTCAGTTAAGAACTAGTCACAGGAGGAAAGAGTCATCCATTTCTTCTACCTAACATACAATCTTGTTTAAAAAAAATTAGAACCAGCAAATCAGTCTTTTTCCTAGCTAATGCTCTCTGGCTTTACTGGGACCATTCCCTTAATATGGAATTGCTAGTTGGGAATTATGAGAATTGGAATCTAGTTCCTGCAGATAGTATCAGATGAGATTAATTTTTGTTGTAAGAGTAATTGAGTAATCATTATCTCCATAATAAATGATAACAAGAAATCTGGGGGGGGTTTTTTTGTAGTTAGATGATTTGCCTCTCTCATCTTAATTTTTTTCTCTATATATACTATAGAATCAGCAGTTGTCTCAACTTTGTTTTCAACTTCAACTTCTCCCTTTCTGTCAGTTCTTTGCCTTCTTTCCTTCTAGGACTGCTGTCATTCTCACCTTCAGAATTCTATATAGCTAGGGGTTTTATACAGCATTTTGATTTGAATTATAATTTGCCTTAGCAAACAATGGCTTCTAATGGATAACTGAGATTTAAGTCTTGGTCTTCATATGGATAGACATTTGAAATTTGCTATTATAACAAAATATTAATGGCAACAACTTGGCCACCTCATCTTTCTTCCCTTCACCACTCACTCACATTCTTTGGACATGCCAACTTCAAAGCACTTCTGTAGGCGGCAGTACTGACAGCGGTTCCGGGTCACTTTGTTGATGATACAGTTCTTGTCCCGGTGACAGGTATATACCATGTTCTTCTGGATACTACGACGGAAAAAGCCCTGTAGAGTTCAGAGAAGAAAAAAAAAATGGCATGAGCAAATCAACTCTCTCTCTCTCTCTCTCTCTCTCTCTCCCATGGTATGAAAACATATGGCTTGGCCTCTTCTCATAGTATCCTTGCTCCCTGAGAGCAGGTGTAGCATTAAAAAAAATCATAATGTCTCCAATTCAGAATTAACCATAACTTTCATGCTAGTCTTTAGACAATTATGTCACTTGCTACTAATATTTCTGGGCAGATTTAGCTAATAATATTAAAAATGTTGCAATTCAACCATTTCAAAAATTGAGTATAATGTTTTGAGATTTTAGGTATTAAAATGGGGTCAAAAATCAATAATGGCACATAGCACATTAAATTATCTATCATGTTCATCAATGTATTCAAGACAGCATAATATTTGTCAATTCATTCATTCAAGTTATATGGCCTCCCATCTCAAACTGACCCTAGGTGGCTATCAGGAGTAAAAAAAATATGCAGCAAAAAATCAACAATAAAAATACAAAATAAACAGTCAATAAGTAGACAGGATAAAAACAAACAATTTTATATTTGCTTTGATTTGTGAAAAAACAACCATTAATACAAATACAATACAAATACAGTAATATGAGGTCTTTGTATTATCTGTCATCCAAAACCTGCTTAGATTCAACAAGATGGCAAAGTTATATTACATTCTGGGCCCAAAGCATTTTCACTGTCCAGATAGTATAGTGCGTGTATTTTTTCTCAATAATCCTTATAATAAAATAGATGAATACCTTTATCTCATATTGCAGATGAAAATAAATACTAAAAAGTCAGTAGCAGACATGCCTTATTCTCTTCCACCTCAACATTCTAGAATAATTGTCATAACTCCTGACCCATCTTAGATCTGTTACAGAATTAACTGGAATTAAAATTATAGAGAGATAATTTAGAAAGATAGTAATGGCTGAGTGTGCATATTACGTAAGATTTTCTCTCTCATACACACAGGCTACCTTCTTACAGACTGAAATCTTTCTGCATATGGTGTTCTGAGAATCAATTTAGTCTTCTGTTCTGTCTTCCCAAAAATTGTGGAATTTAAAAAGAAACGCCATTAATCTTCAATTCAGTGGAGAAAAACTGCAGTTTAGTCAGTAATAACAACAACAACAAATGAATAAGCCTGTAAAATCTTTATAATTTTAAGCACATTTTAAATACAGGATATATGTACATAAAAGGCCATTTGCCACTTATAGATATATAGCTTTAATGGATGCTCCATTGCCCTACTAGTCCATTAAAACTCCCTCCCTCCCTCCCTCCCTCCCTCCCTCCCTCCCTCCCTCCCTGTGTATGTGTGTGTGTGTACATACAAACATACATACATACATGCATATCAGAAGTAGTTCACCCAGCTGCCTTTGTGTCTAAAGTGGAACTAGAACTCATGATTTCCTACTTATAGCATGATGTCTTAGCCCCGCCTAGACCAAATTGGGAATAATAATAATAATAATAATAATAATAATAATAATAATAATAATTTTTAAAAGGTTGGAAGGGCTTCATAACTTGGACTGTACGTTTCCTGCAAAAACAACCCATCTAACTTGGAATACACAGATTTTATGCTCAAAACAATGCAAGAGATTAAAGCTTTTAGCAAGGAAAAGCTAATAGAGAAGGAAGAGGAGAAATGGAAAAATTATTTTAACAATTATTATTTTAAATTATTTAATAACTTAATAAAACCTTCTGTTTGAAACCAAAAGCCCACACATGTATAAACCATTTCAAACCAATTTCTAAAAGTAAGCTTACAATTTTAATCTGATTTTGCAACCAAAAAATAGTACGAGAAATGGCTTTTATTTTTAACAAAAAGGTGGCTGTTGATGCACCTGACTGATCACTTAAAGCAGAAGCTAATGGATATGGAAAAGGAAGGAGGAGGAGATGGTAACCACAGAAGCAGCCAGACTGTTCAAGAACCAGGGGAATGAATTTCTTAATGAGATTAAGGGATTTGGGGTGGAGAGAAAGAAAACCCTTTCTTTTGTGTCAGAGGCATGTAGAGTTCTCTGTTAACTGAGGGAAAGATCAGCTGATTGGGCCATGCCTTCCTCCCCAATCTGATCTCTGACAGCTTAACTCACACAAAGTCATGGTGATGGCCTAGTGCAAGTGGGAGCACATACCTGAACAGGTAATGTCACAGCAGTTCATCTTTCTTTGATATTGAAGTGAGGAGTATGTTTAAAAATAACAGATAAAGTATCAAGAATGGAATAGAGAAGAAATAATTAACTAGTAGCCTCTATTACAAAAAGCAATCCATAAAGCAAATGGTTATAGACAATGGGTGTTGTAACCCAAAATATCGAAGGGCATCAAAGTGCCAACGAAGCACAAAACCCAGCATTTCCTAGAGAAATAGAGGGACTGAGAGCTAGGCATCACTCTCAAATCTTCCCAGCTCTGTAAAAAAACACAGTTCTGCTCCTCCACATTCTTAAAGTCACAGGACATGGGCAAAGCCCATGATGACAATTGCCAGATGATTACTGGACACTTCCACAAACATTCTTGAAGCCCTCTGGAATAGTTGGAAAAGACAGAGAAAATGGTACTTCCTGGGCCAGGAAAAATACACTAGTCATAGCTGATACCAAAAAGTGTGTTCTAACATTTGTGACTTCCTCTAAACCTCAGTGCTTGTATTAGCATTCTGCATTCTTCACAATTCTTCTTTGGAACCTGTATATTTGAGTGACCCATTTTCTCTTTAGCTTTCCTGCTTACATATCCCTCCATCTATTTTTACTCTCACCTTGCATCCTTCACAGGCGCTAACACCATAGTGGTAGCCAGATGACTTATCCTGACACACAAAGCAGGGTTTGTAGATTCGGGGCAGTGGGGGTGGTGAAGGAGGGCTGGGTACAATCTCTTCTGAGCTGGTACTTTGTGTTTCAATAGCTACAGAAAAAGAGAGAAAAAAAATCACATAAAGAACTGGTGAGGTTTCAAATCTATCTGGAACTTATATGTGAGTTACTTAATCAATTCACTTTAGTTACACTACTTTTGAGCCAAACGTGCATGGCATTGCTTGATTTTCCAGTGGTTGATATGAAATAATGCTGTTAAAAGGATATGGTTTAATATGTTCTAGGGGGGAAAAAGATGGAAGATTGGTCCACAGAGTTCTATCTTGTTTTCCCATTCACACGTACAGAGATATTGATGTGGAATGTGATGCCGATCACTTGCAAAATGGACATAAATGGAGAAGGCTTAGCAAGAGCTTGTGTTCTTAAAATGCTTGCATAGCAGAAATGCTTACTCTACCTTACCATATTATAATTTTAGATTTTTAAAAAACCTCCAACATTTCTGTTGAAAACTATTGGCATGAATAACAAGAGAAAGATACTTGTATAAAATTATCTACAATAACAAACTGATTGCTGTTTTTGTAATTCAAGTGGACCCCTTGCACTGACTATGGATTTTCAGAAAAGAATATGGAAATTGAGAAGGGGAAAGTTCTGCAAAGCCTGTGAAGGTTGCTGATCAAAGACAGTCTCAATATAAATACCAGCTAGCTTCTTGGGAGCACCACTTTGTGGTTTTAACAACATCATTTAAGAATGAACCATCTCAGTATGTCCTGCTGGGAAATGCTTTCCAGTAACTTATATTTTGGCCAGACTGATTTTGCAACCCAAAGAAGCTTTTAACATAGCACATACTTCACAAGAAAAATGGAAGAGGAATGTAGTAGCCCAGTGAGCAAGAAAAGCCCCAATTCTGTAAACCTGAAGGCCTGGAAGTTTTGAAAGCCGCCTCCAGCATGCTTTCTGCAAGGTAGGGATGGCATCTCTTCAAGATGCAATCTGACATTTTCAGGCCAGGGAAATAAAATGTGGAGTTAAGTCAGCCATAACCAGTCCCAGGTACATTAAATCTTGGTGTTGCAGCTTAAGGTGATGGAGGAGAGAAGCAGAAGGGAAAGGAAGGCAAGCAGCATAGCAATAATTAGGTTTCCTGGAATTGAAAGCAAAAAGGGTTGGATTTGAGTGAGGCATGATAAAACCATAATAAAGAAGAAGTGTTCCAGAGCACACACAGAGTGCTTTCAGCAAAACAATAACTAATTTCGTCTTCTTGTTCACATTAATTTCCATTAAGCAATATACAGTACAAAATAGGGAATCATCTGTCCATCAAAGGACAAGAAAGGGGGAAAATTTAAGTTGGGTCATAAGAGATATTTAATATTAATTAAACATAGAAGTGATTAATAGCAAGCAGGCTTAAACAATTTTTAAAGCCCCTAATTAATAATTTCTAGAGAAGAATGGATAAATAGCATAAGAATTAACAATGGTTTCATTTAACTGGGATATGGTTAATGAAGTGGGAGGTGGCTATTATCTCAGCTTCTAAAATGAAAAGGAGTAACATGGGGAATGGAGAACCAGGATTCTGAAAGGCCAGTCTTCAAAAGTAGACAACGAAAGAATTCCATCCATCAAAATTCCATCAGCATAAAATCATGAAAGCTTCCAAGTTATGCAGAACTCATCCGCAGGCAAAATGAAAGAGCCACTTAAAGAAGTGAAGGAAAGGGTGGTTGGGTCAATCCAGATAAAAGGGTGGTATTTATCAGCAAGGAAACTTCTTCTATTTTGGGGTTGCAGGTCCTTTTTTTAATATTTCAATTTGATTGAAATAGAACTTAGCCTTGGGCCATGCCTGTCAAGTGTTAAACAGGGGCTGTAATATTTTTGTTCTACTTTGGCTGGTAAGCTAATGTTGCTTTGTGTTCAAGACATTAGCCTGAGCTTTGGATTTAGATTCCCATTGGTCAGGAAGCTTGCTAGATGTCCATACAACATTCATTTTCTCTGTTTACTCAGTCTTCAAGGTTGTAGGGAGGATAGCCTGAATTTGCTAGAAGCCAGCCTAATTTGTCATATAAATCTTGGCTATGTTCAGGTTGGATCAGTATAGTGAGGGCTGCTTTTTAATTACATTTGGAAAAAACAACTAATGTAAAATGCTGCTGCCTGGGTGGCATTGGAGATCTGTTACACAGAATATATTGCTCTACATTTTTGAATTTGGACTGGTTTGCAGTTTGTTTCCAATTCAAAAAAAAAACTTTTTTTCATTTTTCTAACCGTAATAAGTTGGGACCAGTCCATCTGGAGGATGGCTGATTTTCCTACAATACTGCTATCATGCTGAGATCACTGGCAGACCTTCTATGGTATAACGGGTGAAGGCCTTTTCCTCTCAATGTTTACCCTTCCAAGGTAATTTTTAGTCTTTTCTTCCATCTATCAGGGTGGACTACAGTCTTCCATTGAATGTTGAATGTTGGCATAGCCTCAGTTATTTTATTTAGGTGTTTTGTCATAAAAAAAGATTAAAAAGTAGGATCACTCTATTACCATATAACAAAACATTTGGTTTAAAAATTAATAGTTTACCATTTTTATTAATGTTCACGTCTTGTTGTTATTTTGCAGAACCCTAATGTAGTACATAAGATAACATAAAAGATAAGAGTGTAATGTAATTGTATGTGGTTATATAACTTATCTAGAACCTGTTTGCACCACAGATCAACACCACATAGACACTTCTAAAGAAAATTCTATCCAATGACATCTAGGTTCAGATGGAGACCACCCTCTAAACTTCCAGCAGGCTGTCCTCTAGCTCCATGAAATACATCAATCCTACTGACACTCACATACATAAATAGGTTTATTGATATAGCTTCCACTCTGGCACAGCTTATTTCAAAAGACTTGATTCCCATGACTCCTGATGGAAGAAACAGCCCTGACTCCAGAGACAAATATGACAGGGTTATTTGTTTTCCTTAACAAGCTGGGGAAAAAAGATCTTAAGGTTGGGGCAGAGAAAAAATTGGGGACAGAGTAACTTGGAGGTTGCACTGCTGCGCTGAAAAGCTGCAAGGGAAGAAGTCACATGAATCCTGTCAAACCATAATGGCAGGATCAGACTTGCATGTGCACTGGGCAACAATAACAAAAAAGAATAGCCAGCACATGTGTAAAGTGTTTGCTGTTCTCCCAGACATGAAAAGGTTAAGGCATTTGGCTGCACATCCACAGCTCTTTTCCTGTAGGATGTCTGCCGATGTTTTTCTTCAAGTTATAGTCCGGAGTAAACCAGTCAGACAGGATATTAAAAAGTTTGGCCCCATTCAGGGAGAACAGGCCTTCAGATGGGAAAGGCCTCTAGGCCAGTCCCCCAAGGATGGCTTTGATTACCTCCTTTTTAGCCAAAAAAACAAGTAATCCCCTATACGTACTTATGTACATGTGCGCATGCACACACATACAAACACAAACACACACAATTCACAGAGAAAGGAGCCAGGATGTGAACCCAGCAAACAAAAGAGCTGGCACATGCCAGGAGATTAGACATGAAAGGGGATGCATTGAATGGGGCCTCTACTCAGGAAGAGGCTCACAGCTGGGGAATGCACCCTAAGGATTTCCACCTACTCACAGCCCATAACATCCCCACCCTGACAGTGCAAAACACAAGGTTTCTCTGGACTAATCTCTCCCTCCATTAACACACATAGGTATGGCCCAGAGCCAATTGCAAGGGAGACTAGAGGCACACATCTTGCCACAGAAAAGCAATAAGGCAAGACAGCTATACAAGTGAGGCTTGGTTTCCATTCCTAATTCTGGGCAGGATAACCATGGTCAACTAGGAGGAGAGGCTAGAAGTCTGTCTGATCTGGAGTCCACAAACTATGACAATGAGTTAACTATAAGGTAAAAAGATACGCTGCAGATGATCAAAGGAACTCTTTTGTATTATCAGAAATTCATTGCATATCTGTGGAATTGAAAGTAAATATTAGCTATGCAGTCCACAAGAAGGCATCACTGCTTTAAAGAGTTGCAGATACGTATTAAGTTGAAGGACCTCTGGGAATTAAATCAGAAATGCTACACAGCCTTGTATTTTGGAGGATTCCAAAATGTGATTGCCTCCCTCAGCCAATGTGGCATAATCCAGGAAAGGTTTTATTATATAATTCTGCTGAGTAAATTTATTAAAGCTCAGAATTTCTTACACTGGAAAAGAACTAATGATGTTTGGGTGGGGGAAAAAAATTAGGGCTCTTATATTAAGAGTGTACTGTGGCCTTCTGGGATGGAAAAACATGGATATTTGGGAAGCCGAGTCTTTGGTTTTGATTTTGAAAATAATTCAATCTAGAAAATAAACCATGGAAGAAAATGACGAAGGTCCAATACATAAATTTTCAGAGTCCTATCTTTATCATTATTTATATTTCTCAATCTATTGAAAGATGGCTTTGCACTGGCCATGGTAGATGCGTAGATGCTCTCTACAAGTGGGATAAAATATCATCACGGAATTGTGACTGTGGGGTGGAAAATCAAACTATCCAACATATAGTATCAGATTGACAAAATAAAGCTTCTAACGGAGACTTTGCTAATTTCCTGCCTGAAGCAAAAACTATACCTGTAATCTAGACATACATTTATAATATTTTATATTTCATATCTTGTATTTCTATCTCCCGTGTTTTTATCAAAATGTGATGTGAATGTACCATATGACAGATAGACAGACAGATAAATCTTAATCCAGCTACCACTCTTTCTCTTTGAAGAACAACCCAAATATCCTGAAGTGCAAGAACATATTCTGATTCGGGAATGGAGAGAAGACCACTTTTCTGCCAAGAGTTGCCATCCAGCAGTGATTAACAGTGGGCAACTTAAGAGTAGGTGGGAAAGTCTAGATTTTCTACTTCTGCAATCCTCTTTCCTCCCTTTTTCCCATTCCTTGTCATCTGTGTAAAATAAAATTATTCAAGCGTCACAGACTTTTCATCATTATTCTGAAGTTTGGGAAATATAGGAGAACATAATTCTGAG